CGTGCCCCGCTTGGTAAGGTGGATCCTTAAGGTGGCTCCCCATCAGCTGTTGATCTTCAAACAGGGTCCCACGGTCATAGAAACCAAAGCCCTGTTGCCAACACCAGCGGCGCAGCCAGCTGTTAACTTGGAAAACTCGTCTACTCCTCCTCCCGTCCTTTCCCCTCACAGGCAAGATTGAGGAGAAAACAACCTGGGCTCCCAGACACTTCACCACCATTCCCAGAGATAATAGGGAATCTTTGCTTATACAGAGCTATAGAGATTTTTGAAATACAAAGGTATTTGAAATTCTTGGAGTAATGAATGTGAAGAAATTGTATATATTTAGCTGTGAAATGCAACAGTATTTACAGGTTGCCTGCAGGTTTAGTTTGAATTAGCTTTGTCTGATAATCTACTAATTTAAATTTATGTTATTTTATTTTAATAAGCTGAGTGATATGACCTTCTTTCTTATGAATTACTTGTGATCAGGAAGGAGGAAGCTGATAAACAGATTGGATGACTTTGAAAATACACTTGATGGAATAGCTTTGTGGAATGTTGTGATGACATGTAGTATCCAGAAGATATAGTCTGCCCGTTTGAGCTGAGATAACTAGCCCCTTGGCTTTTATTGTGAAATATAAACTTCTGCATTGTGGAAAAGATTTTCTTCAGTCTCTGTTCGATATTCTAGTGCTGAGCTGAACATACTACTCATAGTTCAGGGAAATGTTGTTAATGTACAGATACTAGTGTCCACATGCAAAAACCCACAAAAATGCATACTTTTGCATTTACACACCAGGAGAGAATCGGGAGTGAAGCCCGAGGGCAATATCAGTTTCAATAGCTTAAAAGATATTACTGTTTCAGAAAGGAAAATTCTAAAGAGAATGTGTGTTTTTTTTTTTTTTTTAAACCTGCTCAAACTCCTTGCCATTTGGACATTGAAGCATGTCTTTAACTTACTGTCCAAACGATCTGATAAAAATGTTTGTTTAAAAATTCCAGAACTGAATTAGATGCAAATGCTTTTTAAACTTTGTAAGTGAAACTGAATGTGGTTCTTAATGCAGGTTTTTCTGCCTTCTTTTCTTAGCAACTGTTTCTGATTGAGTAAGTATTAGGTAAAAGCGCAGCGTTGAAAATACAACATCCTAATGTTATTTTCAAAAATGTTTAACCAACCTAGCAGTCGTGATTTGAGACTTGACAATAATTTCCATTAACATTTTGAAAAAAATGTAAGCCGTTGCAATGAGAACTGCTATTGTGCTATGATTTTAAAAAAAAAAAAAAGCACGATATGTTTATATAGTTCTGGTGCATCCAGTCAAATTATTGCAAGACTTGCAAGGAAGTGTTTGTTTTAAAGGAGCATTAGTATTCAAGTGAAAGAATATTTCCAAAAGAGCAGAAATAATATTTTAAAAACATCGTATTGGTTGCAGATGTAAGAAGAAAGATGATATTTAGTAAAATAACTTACACTCATTTCAGTGAGGTTTTTCTATTCCTTGCAGCTGTCCAGTGATGATGCTGTAAAAAGAATCTTAGCTGGGGAAAGAGCTGATGCTAAAGGAAAACCTCCCTTGTCTAAATCTCGAGATAAAGAAAACAGAGAATCCAGAGGAGAGCAAAAAAGCCGTAGTGATAAAGAGGTAAGGATTTGCAGCCTTCCTGAGGTAAAGGGACTACTTTTTTTTTTTTTTTAAACTCACATTTTTTTTCTTTGTGAAGTATTGCCATGTATTGAAGCTAAACTTTAACTTTACTTTATTTTTAGGGTAGAGGGGACTCTGAAATTAGAGACAAAAGCTCAAGCAGAGACAGAAAACCCAAAGAAGATTTGAAAGAAGAAAGCAAAGGAAGCGAAAAGGAAAGCGATAAACATAAGGAGAATGAAGACAAGCACAAAGACTCTGAAAGGGGCAACTTTAAGGAAGGGCACAAACAAGAAAGGGAAAGAAACAAAAGCAGAACAGCCAAGGAGGGAAGGGAAACAGAAAAAAACAAAGGAAAAGGAGACATAGAACAAGAAAAAGATCTTGAACGTGATAAAGGAAGGGAAAGGGAGAAAAAAAAAGAAGTAGGAAGAGAAAGAGACAGACTGAAAGAAAGGGACAAAGATAAGGCTAGGGAAAAAGACAGAGACAGAGAAAGAGGAAAAGACCGGGAAAGGGAGAGAAGAAGGGACAGAGGAAAAGATGGAGAACCCTCAAGAGAACATGGAAAGGATAAAGCAGAGAAGAAGGTAATGGAAATCTTTCTTTGGGGAAAAAAAATAGCTTTTGGCATGCTGTGGTTGGGTTTGAATGTCTTTTTGAATGACCTTGCATATTTGTATTCTCTATTCATTTAACAACTAAAGTACTTTTTCTTAACAGCAGTTGCTCTTAAGTGAAAATTTCAGTGCAGGCTTGATCTGGGATGAGTATGACTGAGGCCGTGTGTATAGCTTCCTGCCTCTGTCATATTATATCTTTATTTGAGCTATTGGGCTCCCCTGACTCTGCTTTCTGATCATCTAATATTAGCAGTTCCTTTTCTGAACTCTGCATGTCTGGATTCTCATGATGACATTAGATTATATTTGGCAATGACAGTTCGCAGCGACTGTTGAAGCCATGTACTTACGTTGTCTTCTGTCTCCCCAGTAATGCATGCTGTGATGGCAGCCATAGTCAGCTTTTTGGAAAGAGGCTCAAAAGAGTTCTTTTGGGCCGTAATTGGTCATTAGTATCTTTCATGCTTACTTCTTCCACAGAAGGACACATAGGATGTACATATATCTGTACTTCACATATATGCATCATAATCTGTATTTTTCTTCTGGTTTTCTAGCTGAAGCTGCTCATTTCCAACTTGGTTTTTTTTCTTGAAAGAACTGAAGGGAAGCCCATCTAGATCAAATTATTTCCCTCTTGCAAGGATGCTCTATTTGTGGAAGGATCTGCAATTATTGTTGTCTGTTTGAGGGGGAACATGTTTCCACCATTACCCCGTACTTCAGGCCTTCTCTGTGTAAAGTGCTGAACTGCCTTAAGAGCCTTCTCCTCGTTGCCTTTGATTCTGTTGCCAGTTTTAATATTTTGTCCTTCTCCTCTAAATTTTTCCTATTTATTTTCTGTTGCATGCTGTTTCATAGTAGAGGTTCAGGGATTAGTGGACACCAAGGACACTTGTGTTAGGGAGTAGCTTCATTTAGTTAGATGTGAGAAAGCACTTCTGTCAGTACCTGTCTGCTGGCCTTCAGGATTCTTCCTTTCGTGATTTTACTCATAAATATTTAACTGTGAATGTTATTTGCTTAGGCTGTTGGTATATAGTTAGTGTCTGATGCCATCTCGTTTTAATACAGGCAGTGCATTTTAGCACTGTCTGAGACTTCCCTGGGTTTCAGGAACAGGCAAGGGAGGCAAGTTTAAGAGGGCAGGTTGATGAACAAGGCTGCTATTATAACATGCTCAGTTCTACTGTATGCTCGTTTTCCCTTTCAGATTTTTCAGGTAAGTGGCTTGCTCCTCACACATACATGGCTTCATGGTTGAGCACTTGAGTCTAAAGCGATTATTTCTTTTAGTCCACAGAGTCTGAGGAACCTGTACTTAGAAAAATGGAGAGGCCAGCTAAAGACAGCAAGTACCAGCCAGATAATGAGGTTAGTAGTACAGAAGATCTGGGAAGGTGAAACACTGAAAGTATTGCATTTTAGAATGGTTTGGGAGTCTGCATGTAAGGTAGGTAGGATTGAAAAATAAGTAGATGCCAAGTTTAGAGTTCTTAAATGGCTCTGTCAACTTGAATCAAGGGTTTTTGTTAATGGATTTATTACACTGCAGATAATACTAGTTTACTTCCTCATCTGTTGTGTGTTTGTTTTTGAATTCTTCTTAGCTTAAACAAAAAAAGTCTACTCAATTAATTTAATTTTACAGACTTTTAGTTCTGTGTGCAGATGCTTTGGGTACTTCAGGAAAATACTTGTTTGTTCAAAACCTTCTGCTTTTTCCTGTGAATCTTTCCTTGAAATCTGTTTGATTTTTATGTACTTTAATAGAAGTTAACCGTTTTGGAAAGAAAATGAATCCAGTGTTATGTCTGAGACCTGTGTTGTGGAGCTGCATGACAGTAGGACAGGCTGGGGGCTGGTGTGCTGGAAAGCAGCTCTGCCGAGGAGGACCTGGGAGTCCTGGTGGACACCAAGCTGACCATGAGGCGGCAATGTGCCCTTGTGGCCAAGAAGGCCGGTGGGATCCTGGGTTGCCTTAGGCAGGGTGTTGCCAGCAGGTGGAGGGAGGTGATCCTGCCCCTCTCCTCAGCCCTGGTGAGGCCCCGCCTCTGGAGTACTGTGTCCAGTTCTGGGCTCCCCAGTACAAGAGAGACATGGCACTGCTGGAGGGAGTGCAGCGGAGGGCTACAGAGATGATGAAGGGACTGGAGCATCTCTCCTGTGAGGAAAGGCTGAGAGCGCTGGGCCTGTTGAGCCTGGAGAAGAGAAGACTGAGAGGCGATCTGATCAATGTGTGTAAGTGTTTGAAGGGAGTATGTAAAGAAGACAGAACCAGACTCTTCTCCATGGTGCCCAGCGACAGGACAAGAGGCAACAGCAAGAGGCACAGACTGAAACCCAGGAAGTTCCATCTGAACAGGAGGACAAACTTGTTTCCTGTGAGGGTGACTGAGCCCTGGAAGAGGTTGCCCAGAGAGGTTGTGGAGTCTCTAAGGAGAGATATTCAAAACCCGCCTGGACGTGATCCTGTGCAATGTGTTGTAGATGACCCTGCTGGAGCAGTGGGTTTGGACTAGATGATCTCCAGAGGTCCCTTCCAACCTTGGCCATTCTGTGGTACAGGCTCACTGGTTGTCTCTGAACAGTAGCTGTTTCTTGTGATACCATTGCGTCTGCATCTGTTGCTTCTTGAGACCTGAGGCAGTTTGGGGAATTACTGAGCCATATGGCTAAGTGTTTAAAGAGGGATGCTTCTTAATCTAAAGCAGTTCAGTCTAGGAAAAAATAGGCAGGATCCCAAGTCTCAAGCAGAAGTCTCTTGGGAGTCAGTGGGCTACTGACATCATTGTGTCTTCTACATTAGATGACAAATTTTTATAGCCGTTGTTTGACTGAAATCCATCCAAACTTTTTCAGGTATTGGCACTTGGAGTGAGAGCTTATAAAATAGTTTTAAGCCTGAAGCAAATGTTTACAGCCAAGATAAACTTCCTGCAAATTGGGTCTCTAATGGCAATTCTGAGCCTCATCCCAAACTATTGTAGTGCTCTTGGGCACCGCAATAATACACTAGTGCAGTAAAGTTCCATTTCCTGTCTTAAGTGCTTTTGGGAATGATTCCAAGGCATGTTGGTTATTACCTTAAATCTACATGACATGCTTTTCCTTTACTTGCTTGCCTAACAGTAGATGCTGCTTAGCCTTTAGGTGATGAAAACATACACTTCAGACCAGCGTGTGACAAATGGTCACCTTGTTAAGACTGTGGAAGAAGAGTGAAATGGAAATGTTAGCAATGAGTCTTTAAAGCTGGAGAACTAAGATAGGTGCACAAAGTGGTTTAGAGGAAACTCCAACATGAAATAATTGGGAAGTGCATCTTAATGGACTGGAGTTGATCATCTTATCATCACAGTCATTTCATAGCAGGGTAATGCCTTTATTTCCAGGGATTTGCCCTGATTTAAACTACTCTAACTCCATTTAAGTCACATGGCAGTGAAACAAGTGTATTAAAAAGAAGGGAAATCATTTCTGTGTTCATGCAAAGGCAGAGTGTTTATTTGCATTATTTTGTAGTCTCTGCTGCATAATTAATAAATCTTCAGCATCCATCTGTAGTTTTTTGTAATTACAGTGCTCAGTAGCTGAAACAACTTGAAACAACCCCTTTTAAGCGGTGGCTAATACACCAGTGTCTACATGTCACACTTCTTTTGCCTTAAAGATTGACCCCTTCACTTCTCATTTGCTCCTGTTCCATTCACTTACCCATCCCAGGCTCATAATCCTGCTCTCTTTGCCCTCACGCTCCAAGCCACAGGTTCTCTCTCTCTTTCCAAGTCTCACCCAGCTTCATTTCAGAATGAACTGCTTTCCTTCCACTTGATTTGGGTCTTGCTTCTTCCATGTTTGAATTAGATCCTTTCTTCGGACATGCTGCCTGTTTAGCAGCAAAAAGATATGGAAACAGTGGGGGAAATGGGAACTTTCCTTTCATGTGAGATGTCCTTGGAATTCCAGGCTGAATGGTCTGTATGCTACTTTTATTTTAGAGAACAAATTTATTTAGAAACTCTTAATATTTTAAATATACAGTAAAGCTATCACTTAAACTTTAGTATCTGGCCATACTTCTATGAGATTAGAAATCTAGCTAAGATTCCATCTGTATTCATGGTAGTGTCTGCATTTTTCTTGCTACTAATTGTCAGAGATTGGCCTTAAAATAACATTTAAATTTTGACAGATTGACCCTCTCTCTCCTCCCCTTTTAAGATTAATGTATTTATGTGGTACCAAAGAAACCCTGTATGTTACCCATCAGGTAATAGTCATCACATGAGTATCCATAATTTCCTGAAATTGAAGAAAAGCAAGTTTAAGTAGGAATCAAAAAGAAACATTTGACTACCACATGACTAACAACAGGGCAAGCAGTCTCAATCTAAAGGTTTCTAAGTCTTTTTTAAAAAAAAAAAAAAAGAGAGAGAGCATACTTTTTGATTCAAGAACTAGTTGTTCTGTATCATGCTGTTTGTGATCAGAAGAAGCAAGATTGTATTTTGTTAGCTCTCGGTCCAGCTGTCTTGTGTGTCTTGTGTAAAATGAACACTTCATAGCATGACTGATTCACCTTCTAAGTAATAAAGGTAACTTTTTGCCATTTGACAAAAAAGGTTTCAGGTTGTAGACAGACCTTCTGAGCATATGGTGCTGTTTATTTGAAAGTGGCTGCAGAATAGGTATGTTGGTTACCCCTAAGGCAAAACACCTTGGAAAAGTCTCTTCCATTTTACAGATGGCTGCAGAAACTTTTGGCTAAAGTTTTTTGTAATATCCTGTCACTTTTGGCCACATCTACAGTAGCTTTCATTTTTGTGACACAAACTGTGTTTCTCTGGAGCTGGTCATCTGAGTTATCCTCTTAAGTCATGTCTAATGCCCTTCTGTTTCTTTTGGAACTGATGTAGCATGTGTAATGAAACAACTGCTCAACCCAAAAAAGACATTACCCTAGAAGGAAAAGAGATAATCATTCCATGGAAATCTCCTGGACGTGGCTCTTAAATATTTCTATTCCAGTATTACAAATGACCTTCTCTCTTTATGGTATCAGTTACTCATAACTGGTTCATGCAACAGAAGGCAAACATTAAAAATTATATTTAACAGGAAGGATTTTTCTGAGAGTTCTCTGTTTGACAGGTTTTAATTAGTAGAAGCTAACACCAATAGGACATCATCCTGCAGGCCTCTGTTTCAGGAAAAGATAGTTAATCAGTGTTTTTCTAATGAGCTCTATTACCACAGCAGTCATATTGACCTTAGCAAATACAGGTCTTTCCTTGTTGCTGTTGCGCACTAGTAAATTATGTGTCTTAATAATAGTAATAGCCATTTTAGAAGTAAAAAAAATGACATCAGCAAGATCTTCTCTGAGTTATAACAGTAGATTTCTTCACAAAATCAGACCAAGTGGAGCCTGAGGATCAGTGCATAAACATCGCTGATAGAAGCTGTTCATGACATTCATGAATGCAGACTATGAATATTGCCTGTGCGGAAAGAGGGAGGAACTAACAATTTGGCAGAATGCCTTTTCAAAGTATATTGCTCTCCTCGAACTGCTCAGTTATTAGAAGTCATTCTTTTTGTTTCTTAACATGAAAATCAATCCATTTAAAGGTTAATAATGAAAACAAAGCAGCAGACTGGATGATTTACAGCACAATGCTGTAAGCTCTCCAAATAGAACTGTAACTACACAAACCTGGGAAGTGTGTCTATGTACATCTAGGATTCCACTTTAATATGTCTTTTTCCCGGATGGTGTGAGATGAAGTGTAATACTGGCTCCATTGACTGTTCTTTACAGTTTCTGGAGCCAGAAGAGTTACCTGTTTTATCTCCTTTCAAAAAGACTCAAGTGCTAAATATTGTGGGGTAAACCCCACAATATTGTTTTTGTATGCTACCTTACTGATTAAATATTAGCTTTTACTTTGCATCTGTTGCCAGCATGCACATGTGGCTATACAAAATGTTAAAGTGTGTTTGCAGTCACTACCTGACATAAATGACTAAATCAACTCCTCCAGAAACCTTGGTGCCTATTCTCAGCTCTTTCTGCATTAATTATTATGTTAATAATTAAATTGTCCAAAGAGCAGCAAATGTTTGAGTATACCAGATGTGGCCTGCAGGCTCTCAAAGCCAGTCTCTGATAATATGTGAACTTTACTTTTACTCCTTGCATAGTGTTGTGATTGTGAAAGATGGTAGTAATTAAAGTGAACCACTTCAATGTTACCTATTCTTTTTGAACTTTTATCTGCTTTCTTTATAAAATGTCAGCGTTTCCTAAAGAAAGTGAAATGAAAAATATTGACTGCTTTGGTTATAGTTCAAATATAAATTGCAATAATCCAGTGAATATAGTTTATGTCTAAACTAGTTATGTTGTTCAGTACTACATACTGTTCATTTGGCTAGATTTTGCAAGGCATAGGATGTAGGCTTCTCTTTTGGCTTATTGAATACCAGCTTCCTGAAATTCTGAACAAGCAGGTTATAGTGCAGTAGCTGGGGTAAAGGAAATGGATCGTCTTAATTAAACTGATCGTTGATGCTGACTCTTGCTTAGAGTGCTCCCTTTCCTATAAAACACCTACAAATACTTGATCTAGTCAACTTATCTCAGTTTATATACTGTGATATATATATTTTTTTTTCCCAATGGTCAGTTCCCATTTGTTTATCAAGAACTTCCATTGAGCTGGTGGTGCACTATAGCATATAAAGAAGTAACATTTGCCTTGAAAGTAAATTTATAAGTATATTCCTGGCATGTAAACTTCACCTTCTTCTCCAATGCCAGTGAATACACTGTTGTAAGCTTGTAGAGGTGAGATGTTGCTCTGTGCCATGGTCATTTAAAGTAGTTTGACTGAATATGTTTACCAGTATCCTATATTTCTGAACATCTTTTTGCAGTGTTATTTTCCCTTATAGCATTTATGTTCCATTACCATATACATAAGATATGATGGGAAATGGGGAAATGAATGTCTTAATGTGTAATTTGGCCATTTTCTCTTACAGGTTATTGGAGATATTTAACATTCGCATAGAAATGGAACAATATGTAATTCACATTTATGTCATAAAAATGGACATTATCAGCAGGGTTGGCAGTAATTCTTGGATGCAAAACTGCATGAACTGTTAATTCACAGAAACATTAAAAAAGCAGATAAAGAGGAAATCCTGAGAGGTGCTAAGCATATTTCGGGATTTTGAACAAGGTACAGAGATGTATTATAGGGATGGAGAGTAGAGGAAGCATAAAATAGCATTCTATAAATCATCGTTCTGTAAATCTCGTGTCATCTGCTTTGTTCAGTTGTGGTCACTTCATCTTTAGCAAAAAATGTTGCTAATAAAATCAGGAAGTTAGGTAGAAGGACAGCAAAATTATTAGAAGCATGAATGACTTTTTGAAAGTTACTGGTTTATTATTCTGTACAGAATAATATAAGAAGAAGGGAGCTGTGATTTCATAGTGGGTCAGATTCCATCCCTGGCTCCATTCTTCAGTTTACAAGTAGGCAGAAGTCTTCTCTGCAAATGTCAAGATTCGTCAGCAGGAGGAATGGCAGAGTAGTGCCTACCCTCCGACCCTTCTTTTGTCTAAGCTTGGCATAAATAATGGCCTCCTTCCTATCCCGATTCCATATCGCCAGGTATTTCATCAGGCTGACAGGAGTCCTCCTTTACACCTTGCACCTCCTTTGGAGGCATTTGGACCCCAGCTGTCCCTCAGGGAGAATGAGTAGTAAATCCATGCTACATTCCACCTGTAGCAGTGACACCTCTCCCAGACCTGTTCCTTTGCTTGCTCTCACCAGGGTGCGGTTTTGAGTCCTGTTTGCTGAGCCTTTTTATAGTGCAAGTGCTGTAGCTGTCTTAGGCCTCCCTAGCACTACCTGAACATAGGCTCAATTATCCCTTCACACGCAGTCCAGATGGCCTCATCTGGGACCAGTGTTGATGTCCTCTCTTGAGATGCTGTTGCTTACGCCCATCTTTTCCTCAACCTCCAGCCAAATGGACCTGCTGGTTTAAGTTGCTCCTTTCTAAGGACATGTGACCACTGAAGTATGTAATGTGGAGCCTTTGTAGAGAGTACTGCCACTCAGTTATCCTTTACTTCAGGCAGTGCAAGCTGTATCCAGATAAAACAAAATAATGCTTGCTTGTTTTCATTTCCTGGCCTCTCTGAGTTGCTTTGTGACTTAGGTCACAGTCCTCATAAGTGTCTTTTATTTTCCTCAAGTTCAATCTTTTCCATGTTTGCACTGTTCTTATTCTTTCTGTACTAGTTGCTGACAAAGCCCTCCTTCTATGCATTCACAGTCCCTTTTTGTGGAAAAATAGCTACTCCTTCTCATCAGGTTATAAAGTCCTGCTTCAGGTGATCCATTGCTTGTTTGCTGGTCTTTCTGGCAGAACCCATTTCCTTAGTTTGGCCAGGGCCTTTGTCCAGGGAAGTTATCGTTTGAGTAGAAGACCAGACAAGTCTAGTGGCACTATTTTTCAGTCATCACCTCTTTACTTCTATTTTGGAATGAAGTTTAAAAAGACTTCTCAGAAGATCAAAAAGGATCTGTGTATCTCTTACAAATAGACAATTTTGCCAAAACGTTAAGGTAATTCTGGACATCTTATTCCTTTGAGTGACTCACTGCTTCTGGTTAAAAAACTGCTGACTTTTTTGAAAAAATAGACCTTATGTTTTTTTATTCCTATGCATATGGATCAATTCTGTAAGTGAATTTGTGTGTGTATATGTGCACACCCACCCACACCCACACATATGGATGTATGTAAATATATATATATAAAAATTTAAAATTGGGGGGTGTTTGTTTTTGCTTTTTGTTTTTAAGAGTGAAAACCCTACAGGAATATCAAGGCAGCCTTCAACCAAAGGATCAAGGCAGCGCACAAAACCTGGAGGAGAAGGTAAAGAGAAGGAGGATATTTTTTCTGTTAAATATGCTGGAGGGTTATTGAATAGGAATAGCATAAATACTTAAATATACTTGTTTGTTATTTCTGTAAATAAATCTTTTATTCAT